TGTTTAGAATTCGAGTAAATGTATAGAATACATTGAGAAAATTTGAGATTTTCATTGTAAGGAGTTTCCCATTTCATGACAATATCCTATATCCTTCCATATATATTTCCTTTAATTTTCTTTACAACATTCTGCAGCTGTAGCAAACTATAACCTGGATACCTAAACCATAAGTACTTCTGGGCTTTTCTTTTTTTGTATGTTTTTAGAGACTCAATATATTATTTATTTTTGTTCTATTTTGGTTTGTATTTTTCTTGATTCTCTCTTGATGTCTTGGTATGTATTATGTTTCCAGTACATTGTCCATTCCATTGATGTTTCAAATTTATTATATGATTCTTCAATATAGACTCTTTAATCCTTATCATTTCTTGGATATTCATTCCATTATTTCTAAATGTAATTATTTGAGTTTTTTATATTGTGGCTGATGGTTTGTCAATTTTATCTTTTTAACAATCAAATCCTGGTTTTGTGCATTTTCTGTGCATTTTTCTACCTACTATATCATTTATTACTACTCTAGTATACATTATGCCCTTTTTCTGCTAACATTGGGCTGATTTTTTCTTCTTTTCTAGTGCTGTAAGTGCATAATTAGCCTTTTTATTTGAGGTGTTTGTTCTTTTTTTAGGGTAGGATATCACTGAATGAAACATCCCTCTCAGAATGGTTTTGGCTACATCCTTCCTATGTAATAAATGTGAATATCCCCCCCAAAAGAACTAATGCAACTTATCACTAAAGTGGAAAATATAGACATCTTCCAAAGAAGGCATATAAGTGCCCAACAAGTATTTGAAAAGATGCTCAATATCAGTAATCATCATGGCCAGGAAAATCCAAATCATAAGGGTAGATGATCCCACATATCTTAGAATTACTGTTATTAATAAGACAAAGATGACAAGTGTAGGTAAAAATATGGAGAAAAGAAAACTAAGTAAAATGCTAGTGGGAATTAAAATGGCACTGTTATTCCACAAAACAGTATGAAAGTCCCTTAAAATATTAAAATCATATAATCTAGCAATCTTAATTCTGCATCTACCTAAAGAAAACAAAATATAGATCTCTAAGACATCTGTACATCCATGGTCATTACAGCATTATTCATATAATATAATTATTCATATAAATGCATAAAATGTTCTAACTGTCCACGAATGGAAAATGTGACATACATGCACCTATGTAATTCAACAGAATATTCTTATGTAGGCTTAAAAGAGGAAGAAATCTTATCATTAAGATAACAAGAGTGAACTTGGAAGACATTAACAATATAATGCAGACAAAGAAAGAGAAATACTGCATGATAAATCTTAAATGTAGAATACAAATAGCCACTTTCATTGAAGCAGATCTCAGAGGGATGGCTTTCCTGGACTAGAGGGTGGGGAAAACTGGAGATGTTGGGCAAAGAGTATGAAGTTTCATTATGCAAGGCAAATGATTTATGAAAATGTGATATACCACAATGTCTGTAATGTACCACAATTTAGCTATACTTAAATATATTATATATTTGAAGTTTGATAAGAGGTTAGCTCTTAAATAAAGGGACAATTTTAACTCAGTGAGGTGGTAGATGTGTTAATTGTCATGATCATGTCATAATTCTACATATATAAGAACATTTTTCTGGGTACCTGATGCATGTATGATTCCTTTTCTGTCAACTGTACATCAATAGATGTAAATTAAAGCAATAAAAATAAAAACACAACACTAATGATTCTATTAAAATATGTCTACTATAGCATGCAATTGACATTTTTGTGATTATTATCTGTAAGGTGTATTTCAGTTGAGACTGACCATTACATTTTTGCTTTTACTTTACTTAGATTGCCCATCAACTTTATTAGGTGGAGACACATTTAATGATTTACTTTAATGTTAAGAGTTGCTTCTTTCTCTAGTTTTTCAAAATATGTAATTTCCCTGTCTTTGGCATTTCTTACTTTCCAGATCCCAACTCTACTAGTTTATTTGTCTTGTTGAGGTGGACTCATTGTTACATCCAGGATAATATCAAATATTGGTGACAGCATTTGAAATCTCTCTCAGTTTATATTTTATTGGGATTTTTTAAAAGAAGAATGGTAATTTTCAAAAATACATACTTGTCAATTTCCATGATTATACTATTATATTCTTACATACATATTAATATGGCCATAATCATGGGATCATTTTTGAATTTTTAATTTAATTTAATTTTTCAATTTTTTTGGTGATACTGGTATTGGAAATTGAACTCTGGGTCTCTTGCTTGATAGGCAGGCACTCTACCAGTGAGCCATGCTGCCTGCCATTTTTATGTGGTTATTTTTTAGAAAGGGTCTAATTTATGCCTGGGCCAGTCTGAACTGTGTTCTTCCTATTTTTCTTACCTAGTGTAGCTGGATGATAGAAACAGGCAGATGTTCCCAGCTATTACCTAAAATCTTTGTGCCGGGACTGGTCTTCACTACAATCTCTCTGATATCTACCTCCAAAATAGCTAGGATTAGAAGCCGTAGCCATCATGCCTAGCTTCTGCATTTTACAATAAATTTTTGTATGTTAATGATATAGATTCTGTTGGTTCTTTTCAAAAATTTCTGGATTCACTTTTCTAATTCAAATATACCATAGAATATTTATATGTGCCAGTTTTGGGAATTTTTTATCAGCATTGTATACTAAGCCTTGTCTGGGGAGAAGCTATCCCTTGTGGAGAGCCATGGTGGGAAGGCAGAGACATTTCAGAAGCAAACAAAAATAACCTTATAAAATAGATAAATTGGAGAGTCAAAGAGGGAGAGAATGAGTACTTCTTGGGTAAGGTTAAGGAGCACAAAGTGTGCAGCTGTCGAGGGGTGGGATGCATGTGAAATTAAGAAAAAGCAAAGAGACTCAGAAAATACACCCTGCAGTTTAAATTGTGAAAAAACACAGTCTTATAAGAATGGTGTTTTAAGGTTCCCAGGGTAGCTCAGTCTCAAATGATGCCTAGAAGCAGACACGTACATCCAGCTGGCAGCTCCTAGAACAAAGCAGAAAAATAATAGGACTAAAGTGACATGTAGCATCAGGAACAAAGGTTAGAAAGTTAATATTATGCAGAAAAATTTCATAAACTAAATACTATGTAACAATTAAGTAAAGTTCAGTAATATTATCAAATGTTATATTTTATGATACATACATGTATGGTCAAAGCATTTTCAAGTGTCATTTACTAAAAGTTGAGCATTGGGATAAGTATCAGGAATGTCAACAAAGAGGGACACACAAGTAATTTCAATAGTATTCTAAGAAAAGGCTACAAAATGTAGAAATAAACTGTGTCTGTTATTGGAAAAGCCTAAAAATTATAACATAACAATAAAAGTTCAAAGATAGATTTTCAGTTAGAAAAGTAAGTTTATTGTACATTAGATCTCTAAACTTGTTCATTTTACATATCTGCATCTGTTACTTTGTATACTTGACTAATGGACAATATAAAGACTCTAGGTAATAAAATTGCCTTGTATTGGGGACTGAGGATAAATGAGTAGCTTTTAGCTGCTCTTGCAACATGTAATTACATAACTATGCAGTATGATGGCTATGCGAATTTGTTCACTTTGGCATCATTTTTATATTCTCTATGAATAGTATACTATGGCACTGTATACCTTAAACATACACAATACAATTTATTTTAAAAAATGAAACAGAGGATGGACATAGTGGCTTATGACTTCAATTCCAGGGAATTGAGTGGTGGAGTTTGGAAGATCAGAGTTGGTGGCCAACTATGGTAAAGAAACTTAGAAACATTCCATCACAAAGAACATAATGGTGATCCATGTCTACAATCCCAGGTTCATGGGAGGCAGAAGCAGAAGGATAGTGGCCTGAGAACAGCCTGGGCAAAAGCAGGAGATGTTATCTGAAAAATAACTGGAGCAAAAAGTGTTGATAGTATGGTTCAAGTGGCAGAGCACTTGCTTAAGAAGTGTAAGAATCAATGATACAAAAAAATTAAAGAAACAAATAAATCTCCTACAAAGCATAGATAATGTTTCTGTAGTAAAATGAATGCAATCTTTTATTAGTTTGAAATGTTCCATGTTGGCTGCAGACTAACAAAAACATATCTTTTACATCAAATTAAAAAAAATTAATTATATCAAACAACATTTTTATAGTTTGTAAGTAAAGTGTTGAAGTTAAATACAACTTTCAGTGAAACTGATTCTTATGCAAAATAAGACATTACTGATTTTTAGCATAATGAAGACAAAATAAGAAATATTTATTCTTTGAAAAGGGAAAAATGGCACATATGAACTAGTGAGGAAGAAGATAAAATTCTTTACAGCTTGGCTTGATACAATTTTCTAAAAGTAAGTATTGATCCATTCATAAAGAAGTACAATGGTTGAATCAACAGTTACATGCCATCTAACAAAACTGCTCACACACAGTGTTATTAGTTGCACACAATATCATGTGCCTCCCAAGTAGACTGAACTGGAAATGAATAGACATTGAGCTGAGAACGTCTAAGACAGTGTGCATAAGGCAGGTATATCAATATGTGGCATTGGAACAATAATGAATAATTCCACTTAAAAATCTCTTTTAGTCCTAGAAATCTGTCTTACTATTAGATAAACTCTTCTTTCAAGAATGTAAGTGGTCATAAATTTCCTAATTTACCTTACTTTAAATTTTTATAAGAACATAAGTCACTTTCTTCAAAGTTCCATCATAATCTTAAATGAGAAGAATAAAGTTACCAGGTGAACTTTCTTGTAATAGGAAAAAAAACCAATGACTTCAGTTCAACTTCCACAAATTCACTATTCATCTGGTTCTAATCTCAAAGAATAATTTATTATGCTTTCTTGCTGGGTTTGAGCAAAGAAAAGCTTCTTTACAGAATTTAGTGAATGGACTACCTCATCTTTTGTTGGAATTACTGCTTGTTTGTTGTTTTAGATTTCGTGTCCTTTCTAGCAAGGAGAAATTTGTATCCTATCTGTATTTAACATTTTACACCAGAGTTTTTCCATACAAGTTTTTATTTCTGAATTTCTCAAGGTGTATATTAAAGGATTTAACATAGGAGTAATAATTGTATAAAAAACAGTGATGGATTTATCAATAGGAAAGTTGGAAACAGGTCTAATATACATAAAAATACAGGGAACAAAAAAGAGGACAACAACAGTGATGTGTGAGCTGCAGGTTGACAGGGCTTTGTGCCTCCCTTCCTTACTGTGAGTTTTAAGAGAGTTTAGGATGATTCCATAGGAGATTAGGAGAAGGATAAAGACCACCATACAGATTGCTCCACCATTGGCAACCACAGTGAGGCCTATGAAGTAGGAGTCAGTGCAGGCAAGTTCCAATAGCGGGTACATGTCACAGATGAAGTGGTCAATGATATTGGGACCACAGTAAGGGAGATTGTACACAAAGATAATCTGAACCACAGAGTGTATAAAACCTCCAACCCAGGCTACCACCAACAGGAGGATGCAAACTTGTCTATTCATGATGGTCAAATAGTGCATTGGCTTACAGATGGCAACATATCGATCATAGGCCATCACCACCAGAAGGAACACCTCAGCTCCACCAAATAAGTGTTCCATAAAGAGCTGGCCCATGCATCTTAGAAAGGAAATATTCTTTTTATTATATAGCAAGTCTATAATCAACTTGGGTGAGATGACAGTGGAGTAAGCAGCATCCATGATTGACAGATAAGCAAGGAAGAAATACATTGGGGAACCCCACAATGGGCTGGCAATGACAGTCACCATAATGAGCAGGTTATCCACCATTGTCACAATGTAGATGAGTAAAAACACAACAAATAATGCTTTTTGCCTGCTAGGATCCTGAGTGAGGCCAAGGAGGACAAATTCTGTTACATTGTTACTCTGTCCCATTACTCTTCTATAAGGCTTGCTTCAGAGATAAGCTCTCAGGAGAACAGGAGCTTCCAGGAAATTTGAACAGGACTATGATCTCTTATGTCATGGTACATGCTACTATTTTATCTTCTCATTGTTAACCCACAGTAAACATTTAGTTAGCATGCAATGAGTTCCTCTTCTAAAGAGTCAAGTAGAACTTCATGTGCATAATTCTATTTTCTTTTGGTTTTGTGACTAGGTCAGGTACAAGGTTCTAGCTCAAGGACTTAGTGAATCTCTATAGGGAAGAATAGACAAAAATACCTCAGCCATTCATACATTTAAGACTACTTACATAAGTTATGCTGTTTCTGCTATGGATGTCAGCAAACACACATGAAAAAAGATTTCTCCTTTTATGAAATCTATCATGTAGTTTGCTAATAAGCCCTAATATGTCAACTAACATAAAGTCAATTCTTCATGTTAGTGTATTTTTGGAGAGTAACTGTATAATATGGTATGTAAGATTGCACCTGACCTGGAACATCCAGCTTAATGCTATGATACTACACTGTTACAGTTCTATCCTGCACAACTCAAAGGACATTCAGTGTCCATGGGTCTCTCATTAAATTTCAAAAGACTGGACATCAAATTGAGTTAAATAACACCAATACCACTTAGCACATTTCTATCCACCAACAATGACTTCATCAGACTCTGTCAACTTTTTCAGGCGCTGTACTTCTTTTTTTCATTCAAGACTATAAAAAATTATAACATATTTACATTCACTATTGTTATTTTTGGCAAATATATATATATGTATATATATACATATACATATATATATATATATACATATATACATATATATATATACATATATGTATATATATATATGTATACATACATATATGTATATATATATATATGACCTTAAATAATCCAAGTTTGTCACCAACTACTACATAAGCTGCTAGTACATAGTTTAAAACCTTTTGAGCAGATATGTATTGAAGAAAGAGAAAATACAAATTGAAAGAGAATTGGTTTTATGTATAATTCTTTATAGGTACTGAGTGCTAAAAATATAACGTTAGTGTCAAGATTCCAAAAAGCAGCAAGTTCCAGTGAAATGGCAATACTTAGAGTTTAAAGGTACAGGCTTGAGTAATTTTCTAAATGTATTTACAAAATGTCTCAGTTTGTACTTTGAAAACTAAAGGGATTTATCTAGATGATTTCAGATTCCTCTCCACTCCAACCATCTACAACACCATTAGTACAGCCATACCATTTTCTATTCTGTTGACATTTATTTCCTTTTCATGTTTACATGATCTAAAAACAATTTCCAAGCTTATCACTGTTACTTGAAAAATGGTATCATTGGCAAATGGAATGTGATAACTACTGGGACCAAATAATGGCTCCAAAATTTGTCATTCAGTGTGTACCCAGATAGGACCAAAGTAATCTTTGAAAAGAAAGCACATGACAGTGACTCATAATGCAGACTTTTGAGCTATTTAATTTGTGTTGCAGTACTAGTATCACATGACCTTGGGCAACTGAGTCAACCTTTCTTTGCCTAAGTTTCCTCATTTTTAACATGAGCATAATAGCATCTGAGTCTTTTTTGTTGTTGTTGTTACATGTACCTAGAGCACTGCTCAGCACCTGCTACAATCAAAATAAATAATAGCTGTTTTAAGTATACTTGATGGAGAATTGAATCAGAATAAATTATGAAGATCATTGTCAATTTAAAAAGAATTGTTGACAGATTGGACATGATTAATACTATATTTTAATTTAAAAATATTTTTTGAATAAGCATAAAATTTTGTGTATCATATGTCACAGGTATTATCTACCTTCTAATATATAACTACTAGGAATATTTACCTGGAAGGATTATACTTTGAGGAAAAGCAAGCAAGAAAATACCACACATTGATAGAGAGGTGGAGAAGATCATGTGCAGAGAAAGTCTGAGCTTTGTTTAGAAGCCATCTGTGATGAACCTTGCTATGTTGTTTCCACCTGGTTCAGATTTGTAGTCTTCACTCTTCATGATAGATAAAGGCAAACCAACTGTAGACTATAAGAGTATAAATTAATTTATGTCTAATTCTATCTCTTTCACATCTTATTTTCTGCATGTTTTACTGCATGTATTCTCATCAATATTACTGCTGTATGAAATCAGAACAAATTCAGTTGACAGTTCAATAATTTGCAAATATTAGAGTGAAAATAGAGTACTTACACTACCCCACATTAAACTTATGTAAACTATACCAGAAATTATCAAAGTTTTCATGTTATACAAACTGAAGAGTAATATGACTATTTTCTATTTAAATCATTATCACTTTTCTAGAAAAATTGCAGTTTGTAAGAACATGGCTTTTTATAAAGATACTTCTTAATTTCAAAAATACCCTATATAGTATTTCACAATAAGAGATTAGTAAATATCAATGACAGTAGATAAAGTATTTCATTGATCTAGTGTGTTTATATGGAAATGTACTAATGTGGTGGCTGGGAAATTTTTAAGGTACACACATAAAGGCCCACATCAGGCATTTAGAACATAAGAAGCACTTGTTCTTTTATACTCTAAACACTTGGTTTGATGTTCAATATTAAATTCTCTGTTTCAAATAACCTAAAACCAATTATAATTCTTTGCTAACATATCATGTAAAGCATAATATTCCGTAAACTAAAAAAAATTGCCATATTAGTTATATATATTACAGGTATTCCTTCTTACTTGGGAAATGGAAAATAAACATTGATCAGGCTATAACACTAAAACAGAGTATGATATGTATATTATGGTTAATTTTTATGTGTTTCCACATTAAAATTATATGGTCTTTAAGACATCAGCTATATTTCAGTATATTGCAGGAATTTTAAAATAGTGTCCCTTTTTGATTTTTCATGAATTCAACCCTTGCTTCAGAAAATCAAAGAGTCTTTCACTGAGGGTAACTATAAATAATCCATGAATCTATGAGTCTTCATAGAGGACCTGACATTATGGAACTGGCCAGTGGACCCAGAATCTGTAGCAAGCAACTACAAAACACATTTCCATGCAGGCTTCCAACCATCTTAGTCTTTCAGAGAAGTATAAGAGTAGCTAAGTGATTATCTAAAATATAAAGACATTTAACATAATTTTAGCACCTATTGTACAAGGGAATTGAATATTCTCATCTGGTAGGAAAATGTCTTCATAGAAAAATAAAGATGCTATGTTGACCCAACTATATAAAGAATTGAGCTAATTAGTGAAAATTAACTTGGTCAAACATTATTTGGTGGTGCAAATCTTTGTTAAAAAATGCTAAAATTAGTTATGTGATTATTTTCTTTGTACTAATTGAGATGGAGCAACAAAAAGAGACTTTGCTTTAAAGATTTACAATAACATCAACATGCCTAGCTAATAAATCATAAATCCAGACTAAGCCTGGATTTAATTTCTTGGATAAGAAGACAATAGAGGCTTTTCACAAATAGAAGCCAAACTCTTCACTCTTTCAGTCATTCAAATGGTCTTTTACCAAGGCCCCATCCTTCCATCTCTCCCCAGTCTCAACCCATGACATCGAGAAGGTCCATAAACTCTTATAAGCAATGATGACTGAATAAGAAACCTTTACACCTTGAGGAATAAATACCAGCTGAAAGCTGTTCCAGTTTGAGAAGAATTTGAGTTTTCAGAAACCTCTTGGGTCATTTTATCAGGAAAATAATTCTTCCATTTATCTGTGCAGATACAGACTGTGACTTTTTGCATTATCACTATTTTAATAGATTAGTTTCTTAGGATATTTGGAACAAATTCAAATGAAGTAATCTTGTGTCCAGTTTGGAAGAGAATTTGAGTTTCAGAAACCTCTTGGGTCATTTTATCAGGAAAATAATTCTTCCATTTATCTGTGCAGATACAGACTGTGACTTTTTGCATTATCACTATTTTAATAGATTAGTTTCTTAGGATATTTGGAACAAATTCAAATGAAGTAATCTTTCCTGGGCCTGTTTTTTCTCATGAACAATCCCTAGAGGTAAAAGATTTGGATCTTGCCAAGAATGAGTAGCTGAGAGCCAAGTGATAGGAAAAACCTAGAATATGAAAAGAAAGCTTGCAAGGTATAAGAATTAACAAACTGTAAGCATCAAATTAGGATGGTTTCAGGTAAATCAGCTTGGAAGAGGAGGCTGCCCCTTCTTGCCTAGCCTCTCATGGAAAAGGGCGGTCGTGTTAGGGAGACAGCCTCAACCCCAGAAACTCTGAGGCTCAGTGGCAAAGTGCTGAAAACAGGACTGGTTATTGTGCTTCCTAGTCCAACATCTCAGTTGACAGTCAATATTCGTTCTGTACTTCTGTAGGAGAAGAGGCTTTGGACTAGAAATGAACCTGTGTGAGATGCTACCATACGCTCTACATTCTGCTAATTCAGCCCTTAACTATAATCTGATATTAACTGAATTACAGCTTCTACACGAAATTGTTGTTTTTCGCAGACCGAACTATGCTGAAATGCTTCCAGTACCTCCGAATCACCTAAATATCTTTACCAAGTGAAGGGCTCACTAAATGTCAGCAGTTTTCAAATTTCCTAACAAATGGATGAAATGCAGCAACTTCACTGCAATATACACTAGTTTTAAGATAAAGAGCATGCCTAATCATGTTGCTTTTCTTATTGGCAAGTAACAAAATGTACACAAGCACATCTTTAATTTAGAACCATCTAACATGATCAACTTCTGTAGATTATGTCAGCACTCAAAGATAGTCTATTTACAAATGTGATGGTACCACTCTCTGTGTCCCTCTATCTGACTTCAGGGAATGACTCATAGTTTCCACCTGTCTGAATGAGGCAAAAGATCTTGCTATCTCAGATGGTGCCTACAACAAACCAAAATCTGAATTTATTTGGTTTGGTAATAAAAAAATTCATTGGAATTATAATAGATGTTCCCAGAAAATT